CGAAAAAGACAAGCCATCCCTTAATCTATGCCTCGAAAAGGGTGAAAATTTGATCAAGAAAATACCAGCCATACTCACAAGATTCAGAGAGTATGAGATAGGTGTTATATCTGATGTTAAAAAGGCCTTCTTACAGATAAGTGTGAATCCAAAGAATCGGCAAGTTTTGAAGTTTTCATGGGTAGACAGAAACGGTCAGGAAATCGTTTACCAACACAACAGAGTCGTCTTTGGAGTGAACTGTAGCCCCTTTTTGCTCGGAGCAACTGTGGAGTATCACCTGTCAGAATGCTTGGAGAATTGCTCACTTAACAAATGTGCATATTCTAGGGAAACTATTGAAAAACTTGCCATGAGCTTTCACGTCGACAACTGTGTCGCTAGTGTGCCAGATAAAGAGACCCTGAACAAGTTCATCAGAGAGTCAGTACAGGCAATGGCGAAAGCACAGATGGAGCTCAGAGGGTGGGAGTTTTCTGGAAAATGTGATGGAGACGAAAGTGTAGCAGTCTTGGGACTGAAATGGTTTCCAGTGAAAGATGTGTTCACACTGAATCCTAAATTGATAATGTCAGAAATTGAGGATTTAGTGGTGACCAAGAGGAAACTACTCATCATGGCTCAAAAAGTATTTGATTCCATAGGCTACACCTGCTACGTTGGAACCCAAGCTATGGTTACAAGAGCTGTGGTCCAAGAACATCACATGGGACGAAGAAGTTGACCAAGGAATAGCCATCGCTTTTAACGAATGGTTTGAGGACCTACCGATCCTAACGAACATTGAAATTCCTCGATGGAATAAAATTGGAGGTTCTGAACCCAATGGAATAACTATACACACTTTTGTAGATGCGTCACAACAAGCTTATGCAGCAACGGTTTTTTGTAGAGTAGTCCAAAAGGATGGAGTGTGGGTTTACTTATTGGCAGCTGAATCTCAAATTGCTCCTTTAGAAAATAAAGAGAGAAAGATGACGATCCCACGACTTGAATTGTTGGCAGCTACAATTGGAGCCAGACTGTTTATTCAAGTGACAAAAAATCTTACCGGAAGATATCGAAGTTATTTCTGGAGTGACTCGACAACAGTCATTTCATGGATCCATAGAAATGAAAGCTGGGGTACTTCCGTTTATAAAAGAGTGGACGAAAACAGAAAATTTACCCCCCAAGAAGAGTGAAGACATATACCAGGCTGCTCCCTCAAACAATTACTCATATCAAAATGGTGGGAGGGTCCTCAGTGGCTCTATGAGAGTGAAGAAAGATTGCCACATGCCGACCAACAAGTGAATGAAGAAGAGGTGAATTCTGAGCGGGAGAAGAGCAGCCTTAAGACCTTATAATATTTGAATCAAGGAGATTCTGACTACTTCCACTTGAGAAAGTTCAGCAGTTTTGAAAAAATAGTCAGAATGTCAGCAGCAATTTTCCGATTCGTACATAATTTGACGTCAAAGATGAAAAATCACCAAAAGAACTCGACAGTGCAAAAAATTTTATCTTCGGGAAGGTGCAACAAGAAAGCTTCTCAGGATCAGGAGACAATCAGCTTAAAAGCTTGAAACCAAAATATGATGATTCTGGTTTGATCCGAATAGATTTCAGAGTTTCAAGGAAACCTAACGAGACTGAACATTTTAAATATCCCATTATCTTGCGGAGGAAGCATCCTGTTGTATTTGCTTTGATGATGAATGTGCATCTGAAGAATTGCCACGTAGGAACACAAGGTTCTCTCTGTTTTTTAAGAGAACGTTATTGGATTCTAACGGGCAAGAGAACTGTCAGGTCAGTCTTGAAAAAGTGTTCGATATGTCGTATATATACCGCCAAACCCTTCATTGTAGAGCCACCGCCGCTGCCATCAAATAGAGTGCGTGATGCTGTTACCTTCGAAATAACCGGCGTCGACTTTGCTGGACCCCTATTTCTGAAATCGGAAGAAAAGGCATGAATTTGTTTATTCACGTGCGCGGTTTACCGGTATATACATATTGAGTTGACTTTATCGTAATCTACAAATGGTTTCCTGCAAGTGTTACGTCGTTTCATAGCAAGACGCGGTAGACTGAGAGTGATGTACAGTGATAACGGTACAAACTTCAAGCTTTCGGAAATTTGGACTGGGACCAAATTGAACGTGAAACGTCATTACATGGAATCACGTGAAAGTTTAACCCCCCGACGGCGTCGTGGTGGGGAGGTTTTCTTGAAAGACTTATCGGGTTAGTGAAAACGTTGTTGCGTAGGATACTCGGTGAAGCATGTATAGACTTTGAGGACCTTATGACTATGGTATGTGATTGTGAATCCGTCGTTAACAATTGACCGTTGACGTATGTTTCGTCAGATCCTTTGGACCTGAATCATTGACTCCAGCTATGTTTTTGCACGAACAGTCCAACGCGAGTGTACCGGACATTGACGCGATTGAAAAAACGAATTTATCGCATAGTATGCGTTATAAACAGATACTCCGTGAACAGTTACGTCAAAGATTTCGGGTAGAATATCTTGGACAGCTTAAACTTCTGTTCGACAAGAAACCGAGTGTGTCTGTTAAGTTAGACCAAATTGTCCTAATCAGGAACGACTCTACCAAACATGTAGAATGGCCTTTAGCTCGGATTAATGAAGTCATCCCAGGCAAAGATAGACGCACGAGACTAGTGCGAGTGAAGACGTCACGAGGCGAGTTGTTGCGTCCAGTGCAACGTATGTATCCCTTGGAATGTAACACTTCGATTGCAGAGGAGAAGTATCCAGAGCCGACGCCATTCGAAGATGAGCTCGTACAAGAGCTAAATGAAGCTGTTGAATCATCGCAGAGTAAGGAGAAAGTTTGTGAACCGCGTTGTACGCGAGTGTTACAAAGTCAATCCGAATCGAAAAATCTTGGTGGAAGTATAGAATCTGAGATTACTCGTAGTGGCCGTAATGTTGAAAAGCCACGAAGGTTTCGTGATTAAGTAGTTTCAGGTTTATACTGTGAGGTTTGGATTTGTGAGAAGATGTTTTAGGTTGAAACAGTTCCTCAGGTAGAAGAATGTTGTAACTTCCTGCTTTTACGTTTATTCTAATATTTTATTGCCATCTAAAATGTATCTCTCTGATTATTAATGGCTCGTTCGCCCCTGTGTTTGTCTGGACACTTTATGCTAACCCGAGAGCTCGCGCCCTCTGAAGCAGTTGCAAATATTGCATCATCTTTCTGGAATTCACTAGATCAGTCGGAGTCTGAGCCTGACCATATAAACAATATCTGTGTATGCGCGGGAGCTAGCTCGCGGGTCGGTTTTAATAGGTGATTGTTTATTATGTTTACGTATTTTTCAACGTTCAACGTATTCTATGCAAGGTTGTTTTCGATATTTCTTGTTTATTTGTACTGTGTTCTTGATAATTGCGAGAATAAATGAGTGTTGCTTTGAATCGTTTTCGTGTCAACACTTCCCGAACCACCTAGACGCCAGATTAGATCGGTGTGTGGAACTTTGGCGGAGAATACAACAATCACGATAAGAAGTTTCCTATTTTCTTGTCTTCCAAACACACCTTTACCAAGTTGTTGTTCAGAGAACAGCATTTAGAATTGTTACATGCGGGTCCGCAACTTCTGCTAACTTCAAAACGTGATAAGTATTGGCGTCTAGCAGGTCGAAATCTCGCGCGAAAAATAGTGCGTGAGTGTACACGTTGTTTCAGAGCCAAACCGACTCTAACACATCCCATCATGGAAAACTCGCCAGTAAAGCGACTGATTCCCGATCCACCTCTTCACACAACAGGATGTGATTATGCAGGTCCTTTTCTGATCAAGAACAATCGGGGTCGTGGTGCTAGCGCATCGAAATGTTACATAAGCTCATTTGTATGTTTCACAACTCGCACAATTCACCCAGAGTTGGTGTCTGATCTCTCAAAAGAAGCATTAATTGCTTCATTAAGGCGTTTTGCAGCCCGTAGAGGTAAGCCAGCCTCCATTTATTCTGACAACAGCACGAACTATACTAGTGCTAAAACAAAAATTTAAAAATTAGGAAATTTTTTGATAAGAAACAGCGATGAATTGACTAACGAAATCAGACATATGGAAATATCATGGTCATTTATACCCGCATACTCACCACATTTTGGGGGCCTATAGGAGGATGGGGTAAAATCAGTGCAACATCACTTATGGAGAGTTGCTAGTAATGCTTCACTTACATTTGAACAATTTTATACCCTACCCACTCAAATAGAAGCCACACTGAATTCTTGTCCTCTTTCTTCCTTGAATTCCGATCCCTCAGATTTGGCACCACTTACACCCTCGTACTTCCTAATTGGAAGAGCCTTCACATCAATCGCAGATCCAGACCTGACTGAAGTTCCAGAAAACATGCTGTCACACTTTCAACGAATCCAGCAGCTTCATCAACATTTTTGGAAGCGCTGGTCCCAAGCGATGTTTCTCCAAAATCTGCCCATTACCTATGTGCAGTGAGTGAATGAAAGCAGAGTATTGTGTTATACGTGCAAATTGTTCCATTCGTTAGCCATATGAACTCTATGAACAATCATAATAGCTTTATTTTGTGATATTTATTGTATTTTCGTTGAAACGATCTCCTTTCAAGGTGGGCGGCATGTTCAGTCTTCTAACATTTTTTATTCCTTATCGTTCCCGCGTTACAGTCGTCAAGCGACTGCGACTTCCGTAACCATGGAAACAGGAGCATTTGCCATAACAGTAACCATGAAAACAGAAGCATTCGCCATAAACGTTTGTCAATACACATTTTTCATTGTCATTGTACCATATTTAGAGACGAAATGAATACTGTTGATTTAAACGACGACATTCATTTCAATTTCAAACGTGAAAGGTTCAAGAATACAGTCCATTGAAGTTGTTGATCACTGAGCGTTCTAAGAATTTTAATCATATTAATTTTTCATTTTTATGTCAGCATACGTGGTTATGATTCCTTCAGTGAATACTCGGCATGACAAGTTTATTAATAATTTATTGATTCTGGGTCGTCTACAAAAAATATATGCACATCAACAAAATGGTAATAATAAGTTTCTCTGATGGACTCAGAGTCTTTGAAGAGCTCCAACCACATTCAATTTCTGATTTCAGAACGTCTATAACAGAATCATTATTTTTATTTTGGCATATGGCAGTTCTCATATCATCATTCACATGTCTGCATTCATATTCGTGTTCATTGAAAGACGATGAAGCACTTGGACTGTCTCCACATACGTATTGTCGACGTTTCCTCAACCATACCTCTATCCACCTACAAGAACAAAAAAGAATATATTACAAACTTTTCGAATTCATTTTTACAATTTGATAACGAGTTATGAATGAAGCGAGATGGCTGAACGTCATACGGAAATGTTTTCCACACATGAATGAGTTACATCAACTTCAACGCAAGAATAAAATCTGGTTTCTCTATCAAATCATCACTATTCCTTTTTTTTTTTTCATTTGAATATTGTTATGCATCTGATGATAATCGGTTCATGAGGATTTACTAAAATCTCTTAGTGCTGATTCTGTAGATTCTTGATGTTCCCTGAATGAGAGGCTGATGCTCCTCTATTCAGTTGTATTCAGTATGATTGATTGCATCTCCATTAAAGAAATGTTCTGAGAATATTCAATAAATCCATGGTCGTATCGCATAGATAAGGGTGTTCTGGCTTCATTTACAGAGCCATGTTCATGAAGACTCATTCACTTATACAACTTTCGTCATGGAAGCCCTTGGCATAATATGGTCACCTGATTATGGAATACCATGTATGATTTTTAAAGAGTGACAACGATATCATAAGACAGGACATCATTCACTTTTCCTTCTGTTAGACTTCTGACATCTGAATCGAAGATATAGTTCCCAAATACTAATATATTTCAGAGAAAAAAACAGGGTTCAATTTGAAATTATCAAATTCAGCTCAATCTCCGTCAATAGTCGATTGTTTTTGTTTGGAGAATATGGATTTCAGAGAAATATATTCCCGATCCAAATGTCGAGAAACTAACATTCCCGATGATTTCCTAGTCACCCAGAATATGTAGTCTGAATGAGTACGAGAAATTGTGAAACCTCAATATACAGTTCGAGACATAACCTTCTTACCCCAAATCACAATCACATATCAACTTGTTTCCAGATATTTTCACATCCATCAAGAATGTTTTCTTATGCAAATTGGGTTTCAATCCTCTCGAAGGATTCTGAAATGTCTGAATCGAATTACCTCTGATATCGATGGTCAAATTAGAAGCATATTCAAGATTCACGAATACATCTGTGGGAACCCTGAGAATACTCGTATTGTGAATACCAAAAAAAAGAACAGGACTCCTCACACCCTTAAAAAAATAGATAAACATACCATACAACATCAAAAAATCTCATTGTACCTGTAGAATATTTGTTCCGAGTGTTTTCAATCCGATTCCTGTAAACGTTAAAGTTTTCAATTTCGGTGGAAATATTCCTGCCATTACTTTATTCAAATCATTATCAGTAGGCGCATCAATCTGTGGAATGAGATAATCAGTGAGATATTTCAATACTTGAATGGATACAATACAGAAATACCTGACATGTTATAATACTCACATTGAGATCCAATTCTTTCAGTCCAATGTTATACTGAAGAAGGGTTGGGATATTGAAATTTTTCAGATTTTCATAGTAGTTGAGTCTCAGTAATTTCAACGAAAACATCTTACAGAATGCTCCAGCCTGAAACATCCGTTTGATGAAAATCATAGAATAATATACAGGGTGATCAAGTCTCAATGAAATACCATGAAAATAAGATCTGGAACGGTTCGTAACTGAGGTATAGGGCGTTGATTCCTTCCATGAGAGAAAAATCTCAAAGAATTGTTGGACGATACGGCTGTGAATACTGCATATTATCGAAATAATCATTGCAAACATGTCACAGACAAACACTTCGTTCTTCGCCAGTACCTCGAGTCTTTCAACATTCAATTTTATCCTGTAAATTATAATGATATGCGACGTTCATTCCCAAGTTTTCAAAATTATATTCATCGAAATAATCTTAATGGAGTCAGTTTCACACGTTTCATCTGAGTATTTTTCATCGCTATCTTTATCTCCATTCGTAACGTGTTAATTTAGTCATATTCAGAAGTATTTTTCGGGGAAAGAGAAAAAAAACTCTCAGAGGAGGTTCTGTCACAGCCCGGATGGCACTTTTATGGATTCTATGCAAACGTTAGAAACTTTTCTACATAGTTACTTTCCCGGCTGTCTGCTCTTGGAGAACCGTGAATGTTATGGACTACATAATGACTATATACTTTGCACTACGCACTTTGTTCAGAAAAATATAGTTAGTCATGTATTTGTCAAAATAAGAGAAACAAGATAATAGAATAAAAAGTCAGAAGAGTAAAACCAAACTGATTTTCGCTGTAAAATTAGTGTTTTGCCCGAACATGTGGTTCGTCGAGCCTTCGTACATAACATTTGGAATGAAGAACATTCAATTCAGCCGAAATTGAAGCCGTTTGAGATTCAACAAAAATGTCACAGACCGAAGGTACTACACGGAAAACCAGCAGACGTAATGCAGGGATACCGCCAGGAAGATACAGTCCAAACGAAGAAAATAATTCGATAGCTTCTACGTCTGTAAAGTCTAAAAGTTCAATAATAAGCATCAGAATGTAGGAAATTGAATTGAAAAAGTCAGGAGCTATGAAGAGAATACGGAAAAATTTTGAACAGAGAAAGCTAGAAAGGGAATTAGCTGTTGTTGAAGCCAAAGTATCTCTGGAAGCAGAAACATTTCTGGAAACTACAAGCGAAAGAAGTAGCAGAAGGAAAGATGCCAGTAGTGCTAGAAGCAGCAGCACGCGAGCTTCAATAAATATTTCAGGGGGAACATCGTGTTCACATGAGAAAGTCCACTCGTGGTTATTCTAACAGAAATCTTTACATTGTGATCAAGAACCAGATCATCCTACTCATACTATTTCAGATAGAAATTGTTCGAAACCGATTGATTCAGTCGCAGTGGACGTTATTGAGGAATTTCAAACTGCAACCCGAAAAATGACAGATGCTTTCGAGTCGTAGTCAGAAAAAAATCAAATTCGAAATAAATCATCAAAATTGCCTTTTCGAAATAATCTTGGGTAAGAACTTCCTTCTTACAATGGAAACATAGAAGACTGGCCTATGTTCATTACCCTCTACAGAAGATCTACCGAAACATGTTGCTTTAGTAATGAGGAAAACATGATACGTCTTCAAAAAGCATTGAAATCAGAAGCTTTGGATACAGTGAAATCGCTAGTTGTTTGTCCATAAAATTTGGAGAATATTATTCATACACTTGAGACCAGATTTGGACGTCCTGAGTTCATAATTGATTCTATGATGAATAAAGTGGAGCTGTTACCCCCGGTTGATACAAAGTATGCATTATCATTAATCAAATTCGCATATTCTGTTCAGAATCTCATTGTTACTGCTCAGTTGTTGAAAATGGAGGCATACATCAACAATCCTCAACTTCTCAGCCAACTCGTATCAAAATTGACAGAACATCTACAATTCCAGTCGACGAGAAACATCTCCTCCAAGCTGGAAGAATCCGTTATGATGCCTATGCCCACATCAGTTCAATTTTCTGAATGGTTACAAGAAGAAACTTCAGCAGCCAGTTTATTATGCAAGCCCTCAACCTCAACCTCGAATAATTTTTTAACTTACGTAGATAGAAATCCAGAGAGAAAACAAAAAAATTCTGTTTTTGTTAGTTCAGAAGAGTCATCAAACGAAAAGTCCTGCACCTTTTGTTCGAAACCGAATCATTCTGTATATAATTGTCGACAGTTTTTAACGTTTGATACAAATAAGAGATGGGAATGGGCAAAGGAAAACAAAATCTGTTATTCGTGCCTTGCTTCTTCTCATCGAATCTTCAGATGCAAAAATTAAAAGAAATATGGAGAACAGAGCTGTGAAAAATTCCATGATCGAATATTACATTCAAGCTCACCTCAAAATCGAAATAGTCTTCCGCAGCAACACAACTTTCAAGTGCAAGAGGTTTCCTCAGATATCACTGCCGAACAGAACATTGCAGAGTCCGAGCAATCAGCCTGTTTCATCAATGAGCACTCTTCCAAGTACAATCATGCTAAAACTGTTCTTCTTCGAATACTCCTTGTTAAAATCATTGGACCGAAAAAAGCCGTGGAAACATACGCACTTTTCGATGGAGGTAGCACTGTAACACTCATGGATTCTAATCTTGCCGAAGGAATAGGAGTTGAAGGTGTGAATGATACTCTAAAGATGTACTGGACTGATTCTACGTCGTACACAGATAGAAAATCGAAGAGAGTCGACATCCAAATTCAAGGAAATCTGGATGAACAGATCTGCAACCTCTCTTATGTTCGAACTGTAAGCACTTTGCAACTTCCTGTACAATCTGTGGACGTCGGAAAACTTTGTTCAAATGGAATCATTTGACAAAAGTACCATCTGTCAGTTTGACAGGGGCAAAACCTCCATTGCTGATTGGTCAAGATAACATCGATCTCACAATAGCAAGGAAAGTCATACAGGGTCCTGCCAATGCTCCTGTTTTATCATTGACTAAATTGGGATGGGTAGTCCATGGAAATTTATCGAAGTGCAAGAATAGAATCGACAACGAGTATTCAATGCATTTTTCCACCCAGGATGATGAAGAATTGAAGAACCTCATACATCAGAACATATTGATGGATATGCTTGGAGTCAAAAATGAAGATAGTAGAATTATTCCTGAAATAAATGATAGAAGCCTTCACATAATGGAACAGAGTTGCCGCCAATTAGTAAACGGTCATTAGGAAATCGGACTGCTTTGGAAAGCAGATGATACCACATTACCTGACAATAAGTCTACTGCCCTCAGCCGATTATACACTATGGAAAGGAATATGGAGAGATAACCAGTTTACCGAAATTTATCATAGACAAATAAAAAACTATGTGCAGAAACAATATGCTAGAGTTTTAACGAGCGAAGAAGCAGCCTTGAATTCAAGCAAGAAATGGTACTTGCCACACTTCGCAGTTGAACATCCGAGTAAGCAAGAAAAATTTCGTTTTGTCTTTGATGCCAGAGCCGAAGTATGCGGAACAAGTTTGAACAAGAATTTATTGAAAGGGCCTGATTTGTTGACTTCACTACTAGATATTCTGTTCGAATCAATCGAGTTGCTGTGATGGGAGATATAGAAGAAATGTTTTCACGAGTCCATATAAAGCCGGAAGACAAACATTCTCAGTTGTGTTTGTGTCGGGGGAGAGATAGAAAAGGTCCTATTCTCACCTATCGAATGGAAGTCATGATATTTGGTACAATATGCTCCCCAAGCTGCGCAATATACGTGATTCGTCAGAATGCAAAGAAGTATGCCGATAGATGTCCTGAAGCTGCCAAAGCCATTGAGAACCATCACTACATGGATGACTACTGAGATAGCTTTGAAACTGAAGAACATGCCAGCGAAGTAGTCAAGAGAGTCATCGATATTCATGATCGTGGAGGATTCAAAATGAGAGGCTGGCTCAGTAATTCGCCTGAAGTTATCAAAAATGTTCCAGCTGATCTGAGGTCGAAAAGCATTGTCGATTTGGATTTCGAGAAGTGGCCAACTTTTGAGAGGACATTGAGCCTGATATGGAGCTCAAAAAATGATCGTTTCAGTTTTTCTGACAAGTTTCTCACCAATAAAAGAAATATACTCTCAGAAAACAATATTCCTTCGGAAAGGCAAGTCATAAAAGTTGTAATGTCTGTTTATGATACATTTGGTCTACTAGCGCCATTTACGATTCAAGCCAGGATTCTAATGCAAGAAATTTGGTCCTACAAATTGAAATGAGATGATAAACTGAACTCTCAACTATTCGAAAAATGGAAATATTGGGTGAAGGCTCTGTACAAAGTTGAAAATTTGAATATTCCTGGATGGTATGGTTTCAGCCGAAAAATCATGGAAATTCAATTGCATATCTTTAATGATGGTAGCGAAGAAGCTCAAGCGTCTGTATCTTACTTCCGAATGAATGATTCGAATAACCAAATATACACTTCATTTGTGATGGCAGAGTCAAGAGTCACTTCTTCAAAACCGATGACCGTACCAAAGATTGAACTTCAAGCAGCTCTGTTAGGATCCCGTTTAGCTGGAACAATTCCGAATGGACATGACCTGAAAATCAACAAGAAGTTCTTCTGGATAGACTCAAAAATAGTACTGAGTTGGATAATGTCACCTCCAAGAAACTACAAGACTTTCGTCGCAAACCGAATAGGAGGAATATAAGAATTAACGAATTCCGAAGATTGGCATTGGCTTCCGACTAAACTGAACGTAGCAGATGACGCAACTCGTGGAATGTGGGACTTCGACAACTACCAGAAATGGTTCAATGGACTTCGGAAGACTGGATCAAGCCGAACATTTGGATTTACCAATGATACAGCCAATCATCCTGGACTCAAAACATGGGTTAACAATATTACTAGTGAGACATTATCATAATTTGGATAATCATCAGGGCAGAGAACAAGTAATCAACCAGTTAAGAGACAGATTTTGGATCATTAATGCGGGATCAGCTGTAAAGAGTTGTGTGATGTTCTGTGTTATCTGTAGGAGAAAAAATGCCAAGCTGAAAAGGCAACAAGTGGGTCG